GGACCCCACAGCTTAACTTCCTCTTACGCCTTCTGAAAATGTCAGTTACCGTCATTGCAACAAGTTGTTTTTAGATAATATATTTGAAGTCTGTTTTACAGCAAGTTGTGTCTTTTCCCTATGTACTCAACCTTGCTTTAAGCCTTGGTTCAGACTTCGCAGTGGGTATGACTCTGAGAAAAAATATCACAATTGCTCAAAGCGTCATCTCTGTGTGCTCATTCCCAGTTGCATTTTATTTTTTGGTATCCATAAGAAGTAGATGACTACTACCCACTTCTCAGGTCCATCCAAAGGTTGAATGCTGAGACATGTTTCTTCTTTTCATTTAAGTGTTCAAGAACCACTGTCAACTGACGAAAAGATATGCAGTATCGTATGGCTTACAATTTTTATGGCCAAGATATTTCAGTATTCCTTCCTTTGGAGCTCAGTTTCTAAGTGGACTATTCAATCAGCATTGCTATCATACCACCCTGGACTTTTCCAGGTTAACTACAGTATCACAATCCAGTTCAAAGAACGTTTCTTGGCCTTGGGGCACCAAAGTTACTCTTCTCCATCGTGTGTAACGGATGCAGCCTCTTTTTGTGCTGAGTGATCCCCATTTATCATCATCCAATGAATCTGAGACTAAATGTGGAGAACAGCTCATGGGCCATAACCTAGAGACAGTGCGATTCAGCTGGTTAGGGGAAGGTCACTCCAAAAATGGACTCTGCAAACTGTGTCTTAACTAAGGAACTTCTTTTTACGCCTTCCTTCCAGGCTCATCCTGTCATCCCATCTCTTAACCAGCCTGAGGGGGAAAAGTCAGCTAACTGAGCAAGGAGCTGAATGTTATTCCCTATAATTAGTGAACACTGACTTGGTTTTTGCTCTTTGAGTCTTACTAAGAGCTAATTTCATGTCACAAAGATTCACAAAATATATCAAACTAACCTATATGTGGACATTTTATTTTAGTTCAGTCTATTCTGATGGAATAGACTGGAACTTCTGGGCACTTGATGGTAAACCTGGAAAAACACAATATCTAACAAATATCAAGAGAACAATTTTGTTTACGTACTGCTGGGAATTACATAGAATGGTTGGATTTAACAGCCCCTTTCTACTCTGGCAGAGCCCTAAGACAGTCAAAGCGTTGCACGTCAGCGCTGCTTCTCCCACTGCAGATCTTTCCTGAACTTTTTTGAGAAAACTTTGAATGTAGCCTACATGTCAGAATATATACTGAACCCTGACCTGGATGTGCACATTCAAGACAGCTGCTTCTAGAACTTTTTTCTAGAAAGTTATATGAGGTGTAAGAGCATCACAACAGAGCAGGAGAAGCAGTTTTAGTCTGGATGAATTCCACTCTTGGAACTGTAAGTGAATCATAACCAGCCAGCTTTGCGGGGTTTGTTACTTGTTTGGTTCTTCTTATGGACGTATTACAGATTTGCAGCGCTGTACACAACTCACCTCCTCAACCATGTGCTTGACTTTTTTCTGCTGACACAGAACCATATCGTCCAGGTGCCGGATTCGTTCTCGGAGACTGTCTGTAATTTCCTCCAGCTTGAGGGACCTGGCCAAGGAAATGTGCCCACCCCCCAAAAAAACCCAATTATAGTCTTCAGTACTTGTATCTTCCCTGCAATCTCAGTTTATTTTTGCCTCACAGGACAGAAGTTTCCTCAGCTGTTTTGACAGGTGGATCAGACAGGTGGGGAGGTCTGAAAGGTAACTAAGCCCAAACAGCAACAACCTCTCTTGGAGCCCCTTCAGTAAATAAGTTACATGACACAGAAAAAACATGTTCCAACTGGTTCTTTAAGGGCTGAATGTCTTTCGGGAGTTCTGGCCTGGGATTTTTTTTTTTTAATTCTACATCTCTGCAAACTTTTCTTAATTATCCTGTACTTTCTGCTTCATGCTTTCCTGGACTGGAGCTCCAACTTGCAATGGACATCACCACCATCCTGGACCCCTGCACTAACCGACCTTCCAGGATGGGAGCAGAACACTCAGACGTTGCTATGTCCCAATTGGGTAACCTCCCCAAGAGACCTTTAAGACAAAGTTTGCAATCTGCTACAGGAAGAGTGAATCTTAGAAGGATGGGTGATCTTACCTCGGTTGGCTGGACTGATTGTAAACATCTGCTCCATGTAGCTGCATTTCATACTCTATTAATTGTTTTTGCAACTGATGGCGTTCCTGAGGGGATAAACAAACAGAGAAATGAACATGCTTTTAAATATGTTAATTCAGCTACAAGATGTGCTTCTCAAACATTTTACAAAGGTTTTGGGCCCAAGACCCAAGTTTTCTAGTTCCAGGTCTAAAGGCACTTCCACTCAGCCACCCAATGTAGGAAATTGTCTCAAGGACCTGACGAGAGACCTCCAAATTTCTTTCGCCCCTAGCCAATTTCCAGCCATTCCACTCATTTGAAAGCTCTGAATTAGGATATTCTGGCTCCAATGTTTTTGCATTTGCTTCTCTGAGATGGCTGTGCCCTAGGAGGGTGGGATAGATGGTCATGTGTCCCTTCAGACGATGAACAAAGAATGCAACTAGTCTATGGTAAACGCTTCTCTGAAAGCCAAGAATTAGGGTGGTCCCTTGTTCCTACACCAAAGCAAAGCTAGACGAAATGTTGGAGGCCCCCATGTTCTGCAAAAGCAGGTACCACTGTTCCTTGGAGATGGCATTGTTGAACGCTCTTCTGGATCATTTTCTCAAGTTTAACTCCCAACCCCTCCTCAAACTTCATTCACTTTTCCTGGTGGAACAAGAGGGCTAGGAAAGCTGAATACCATTAGGAAAGTGTGTGTGGGGGGGAGATAAGGTTACTCCTCCCACCTTCTGGGCCATTCCATGCCAGATCTTGCTGCTGTTTTCAGAGAAGTGCAAAGAGCAGAAAATCAAAGAGCAGAGATTTTATTGTGGCCTGTGAAGCATTGAAACCTTCATCAACCTGCTACCAAGTTATAGATTCCCAAGCGAATGGGAGAATTTCCCCATGGCCCTAAAACCACTTGTGAATCTTCTACTCCTTTGAAGAGCAAGAATCTGCACAGGCAAATTGTGAGGACCACCTTCTAACAGCCATTCAAACCATGGCTTGATGGACTCCCACCTCCCCGATCTCCATCTCCTTGGAACTGCACACAAGTCTTCCCACAAAGAAACCACTCCTACAGGACACAACCTCAGCAGTACAATTCCATTCCAGCGGATCTCGCCTTTCATAGCTGCAACTCCGTATATCAAATAAATGAGTGACATTGAAAAGGTCCGCGAAGCAGTCGGAAGGCGTCAACTTAATACCAAAAAGAGGAGGATGCCTAAGAAAAGGTGCACTTTTTTTACCTTCTAAACAGATTTCACATTGAAAGGGTAGTTTCACAGATTTCCTAGCATACATTCAATTCAAGTAAAATCTTATTCAGGAGACAGAAAAAGAGGCTCCTCGTCATCCAAAAATCTCCAGACGTTCACCTAGCACAACATCCGGGCCGAGAAAGGGCTGGGCAGAGCAGGAGATGCAAGGAAGCCGAGAAAATCTACTACAACCAGTTCAACTGCCCTGGCTTCCTGTTGCCTGAATTACATGGGCAGCAAGACTCGTTTTTATAGGCAAACTCTGCACTCCTAAGAATAACAGGCCTGCTGCTACATCATTCTGTTTTTTTTTAAGTCATCCTGCTCTACGGCATAGCTGAATTGGCAAGACCTCTTGCAAACCTACGTTGTTCTATTATTGCACAAAAGACTCCCTTCCATTCCTGCCCCGGTCGGGGGATTCAGCAGCTACTTGGAGGCTGAACCCCTTCTCTTCCGGGGCACCCACAGAAAGGAAGGAAGACCAGCCTGGAGCCGGTGTGGGGCGCGTGCTTCCTTCTCTCTGCCGGAAAAAAAGTCTGCCTTCCAGATGCAAACAGGGTCCTTTGTCTGCAGACCACCCCCAAGGCCATTTGATTAAAGAATAGTCAATGCATCTTTAGAATAAATATGTGAATATATGGACTGGAGGAAAAGGATAAAAATGACTGTCCCTGGCCATTATGTTACATATGTGGAATATTCTGTATTGCAAGAATTAGGCAGATTTTAATCTTCATTTTGCAAAGTGCAAAGAATGTGGAATGAAAGAATGCACACCCACCCACCAACACATCTACCCTTATATTTAGAGAAAGACTTAAGTGACATTCTTACATCTTCCATGCGCTGAATGAGCCTATCCAGCTCTCCAATTCGTTGGTCTTTTTCCTGCAAACTTGTCTCTGTAAGTCTCATCTTTTTATTTGCTTCTTCAATGGCCATAAGTAACCGATTTGTTTCAGACTTCCAAGAAAAAAACACATCAGGTCACATTCCCCCAACTGGACATTGCAAGGCCAGACCGCCACCCTGCTTCGAGCACAACATTTCTCACCTTTTCCCCAAAACCTAACAGTTGCTTGCAGCAACAGGAAACAACACCAGCTAGGATCATTCCTGCTCACTCTACAAGCCTGTCTCTATGTTCCTCCTGGAAAGGCCTAAAAACGTAATTTGTTCCCAATGATCTTACAGCTACTAAATTTCAAGGGAAGGAAGTGAACTAGTACAGAATTATAGAAAAGACACCACCTCTTACAGCCCAGTTCCCCAAAGGCTTATCTGAAAACTATTTCAGCTGAGTTTAATGAGACTGACTTCCAGATAACGTGCAGAGCTGCAGAATTAGCATACTCCTTAGTTTGCTTATGGATCCTTATTCCTCACCCGTTATTTTTATTGTTTCTAAAACTTCTGGAAAATAGTATTTCCAGAGAGTGAGGTTCTGCATTAAGTAAAAATTGTTTTGTATATGTCACTCCCCTGTACATGCGAAAATCGCTAAAAGTATAAAAAGCAAAGATGTTCTTTACTCACACCAACAAACCAGGTACTGTCACACTAAAAGAGCCCCATTCAAGCTGGCAATTTAGCAAGCTGAATTTCTACTGTTAATCTTTGGGAAGTTGAAAACTCCTGTCAACAGACTGCAAACCACCCCAGAAAATTACTGTTCCACTCTGATGTGCATTAACCGTAGCCCTTCCAAAGGCAATTTCACTGCATCCCACGTACAAGGAGAGTTTCTTTCTCAAGTTTATGTTTCTGTTCTTCTTCTTGGAGCTTTTCTTCATACTGACTGTATAATTTCCTGGTCATCTCTCGCATTACTTCGGCATTTGCTTCTTGTGAACATTCCACCTATTAAAAAAAATAAAGGGAAGGGGGACTTTTTTAATGAAACAAACGCAAGAGAGAAATGGAAAGAAATAGAAAGATGCTGCCCGCAGAAAAATAAAGTTTGCCATTAAGAGTTCTGTTTTGCTCAAGGGACAAAAGCCAAGTGGGTGCGAATGAAAGGGATTGGCTAATCAGCACCCCTGCCCTTGCATAGGTCCAGGCGATTTCTGCAAGGCTTCTGCCCCTTGCTTACGCACCGAGTGAATTTCAAAACCTTTACTTCTATTAATTCTATAGTAATAGCGGCACGTGGCCTTTTATTGAGGATGTGGCTTCTGTTCATCTTGCCTGCATGGAGTGCAACAGTGTTCAGGGAAGAAAGGGGGGAGAAAGAAATGTGGTGGACTCTGCCTTCAAGCAAAACCTGCTAGTTGCAAGTCAACCGTCTTCCCTGGGAACAACTAACAGTGTCGCTCAGTCGCATCTCCCACAGGAAATTAATAGCCCTGGTCGACTAGGACAAGCTGAATGCAGATGTCCGTAATCCCAAATCACAGGAATGTGGGCAAACTTGGAGATTAAGTCTTGCCTGATAATCCCTCTTTGCTTCTGAACCAAACAGTTTTAAAAGTTTCCAGCCAGGCCATGCTTTTGGAAGGTTAACACGTTCCTAATTCTGGGAAGCTCCACAGTCCGGGACAGATGTTCCTGCGGCTCACCTTGAGTCTCAGCAGTTCATTTTCCATTCTGGCAGCTTCGAGTTGCTTCTGCTTCTCCTTCAGTTTTTCCATAGATTGTTCATGAGTTTGCTTTAGATTCTGTATCTGGTCACGTATAACCGTATTCTCCAAAGTAACATCAACCAAGGTTTTCTGAAAACGTGTGCGATGAAATGCAAAATTAATTCACAACTGCCTGAAAAATATTGGGATGAATCCTTTTTTTCAAATGCACTTTTGGATAGGAACTACAAAGAACTAACTCTTCTGGGTTCCTTCGGGATGAAAATGGGCAAAATGCATGTTATATTGCAGGACGAATAGGAGAAGGGTAAACAAGTCATCTTCTGGCTTAAATCCATCCAGGAATTATTCATTTATTTAAGTTTACTGGGTGCCCAACTCCAGTGGAATAGACTGGGGTGGTGAATAAACCCAGAAACATTGTACAAGACCCTGGAGCAGCAGAGGTGAAAAGCCGGCTCTACGACCAAAGGCAAGAAACTAACGAAGTACATCAAAAGTCGTTGGGAGGCACGCAAACTGAACAAACATCAACACTGCATATTATTTATTTAATGCATTTGTATACTGCCATAATAAAAAAAACACTCCCAGAAATATGATCAGTTATGTCCTACTATAAATATGTTTCATGTTTAAATACAGCACATTAACCTAGCAAATTTCCAAATGTTAAAAAAAAATCTGTGAGCTGATTAAGTTAATAAATCAACGCCACTTCTTTGGATTACTACTGTAAATAAAAGCCTAGGAATTTTCACCACAATATTCTTTTGTAAGATTTACAGGCTCTGCCAATTGGCATGGGGTGTGAGGAGGGGAAACCAACTCTGGGGGCGGCTGGCACCTTGAAGACGCTCCCGCAGGTCAACAACCATCACATACCATCAGTTACCTTGGAAGATGTTACTTATTAATTGAACATTGGTTTATTGCTTTTTAATCAGTATTTTAACCAGTATTTATTTTTTTTACTGTAACTGCCCAGACTCGCTCACTGAGTGAGATGGGCAGTGACTAAACTTGAAATATAAATAAGTAAATAGTAAAGGAAACCAACTTTCAGCATGCTGAATTTCAGATTTAAATCGTTCCCTCCGCCCCGGGGGTCGCAGAACAGGCCCTGTACTCCAAACGGCCCCTCACAGCCATTTTCTCCAGCTGGGGGAGCAGCCCCTCTGTCCACAGCAATGTACCTGCAGCTGAACGGAGGCCGAGGTCAGTGAGCTGCTCATCTCACGAAAACTATCCAGGGCTGTGGCGTGCACCTGGATGTGATCTTCCAGGGATGCCTGCTCAGCCTGCGACACCTGCAGAAATAAGGCCAGGTTTTACTCCTCAGTTTCAGGAAGCAGCAGCTGCACATCGGCAAGAGCCAGACTTGCTTTGAAATTAGCGGGCTCATCCAATGACTTTTACTGGCTGTCCTGCAATCCAGGGGAAAAAAAACAAGGTCGGGACCACTTGCCGGAGCACACAGCGTTGGGAGGGGAAGTCAGGCTGGACCCTCTGCTTGGCCAAGAGGCCCACTCCTCCTTCCTCCTCCTCTAAGGACCATGGGCATGATGCTGAATCCACAGCCAGGCTCACCAGCTACCCAAGGAGCTACTGCTGGCTTGAGACCACCCATGGCAGCAGCCCAAAATTGGGCAGGGACGAGCAGCAGCTCCATGGCGCAAGGAAGATCTGATCCAAACCCCACACAGTCTTTCCTAGGGAACAGTTTCAGGCAAGGCCTTTGAATACAATAGAACAATGCAACAAAGCATTTTGTAAAGGCCCTAAAAAACTCAGCATTTTCAAGTTCCATAATTTCCCTTTGGAAAAGTGATAGTTGGAAAGATTACAAGGGCTAAGCAAGTGAATAAACACAGACCTTTTCAGGCTACAGCCAAATAAAATATTCCCTTTAAAGAGACACTGAAGAAAAGTTTCAAGTACAAATCCTAGCCCAGGTGGTCTTAGGGAAAAAGGTTTAGGGGAAAATATATGAGATTACACTGGCTCTTGCACTCAAATATACACTTGCACACCTTGTATGAGCCAAGAGCGCATCTGGAACAGAGGTGGCTACTTTGCATTTTGAAGGAAGGAAGTGTGGCTTGAAAAGCAGAAATCTGCAAGGCAGATCATGCAGCACCAGAATTGCCAAGGAAGGTTTCAGCAGACTGGCCAGCATATGTAATGATGATCTGCAAATGCAAAAAGCCATTGTAGTGTAAAGAATGCCAGTTAAGATGGTCTGACCTAGGCAGCAACAAAGGAGATCCATATTTAGATCAAACACAGAAGTTCCTGAGGTTATTTTTCATAAATCCATATTAATAAATTGCTCCATAAAATGTTTGGCACCAAGGCGTTTGCAGATCTTGGCCAGCACAGGAGGAGATGGAGCCTAGACTGTGAGAAAGAGGGACGTGAGAAAGGCCATCTCCACTGGGCTGAGGAAGCACCTCAACCAAGAGGGTAAGAAAGAAGCTGGACTCTTAAGCGTCAGACCCAAACATGGACAGCGCATGACACATTCATTCCATCTCCACATTCTCGGCAGCTCAGAAGGTGAAGTGGTTCCCTGCTTCAACCACCTTCCAAGCCCAGAGACACTTACCGCCAGCTCACTCGTAAGCTCTTGGATTTTACGTTTCATTTCATCATATTCTCCATACATTTTCATTCTTACTTTTTCCAATGTTAGTCTCACCTGGAACAGAAAGGTTACAGTACATCATATTGTTCCCAGTGCTGGATAAATGGCAGTTTTCAGAGTCTAAATAGTCAAATGTTTAGAAAAGTAGCAGGAAACCAAACCAAAATCCTGGCTGTGCCTTTCTTGTACCAGGAATCTGATGCAGGTATAACGAATGCACCCCAACTTAAAAATGTGGTTCCGGAGTTAAGGGACAAACTGAAGGCAGTCCCACCCCAGGGGCTCCTCACTCTCCCTGTTCACTGAGCTTTTTTTCTTAGCAACAGAACCAGATGAAATCTCCGTTCTTAACATGCCCCACTGCTTTAGAGAGGAGGGAGGCCTACACCTGAGTAGGAGGTACTCCCTCCTCCCAGCCTGGCATGGAGCTCACCTGCCTTGCCCCTGCCCAATGCTTTTACCGTCTGTTCTGCTCTTCAGCCTGGTGGGGAGACTGGAAGGATCTCGTGGGCCTCTCCAAGTGTGGACAGAGGACCCGTTTGCTTAGAGAGGGCCCTGCCCTGGTTCCAGCCCCAGAAGACCCTCCAGTAGATGGGGCAGAATGTAGCTCTGCTGCGACATGGAGATTTGCCTTCAGTCCAGATGGGCAGTCCTGGGCAAGCGGACCACGGTCCAGCTTGGCATAAGGTGCCTTCCTGCGTCCATCTGTACATAGTGACTATCCAACAGACTCACAAGTGACGTAGCCATGTCTGCTGGGGCCATGTGATCAGTGACAAATGCACCATGCATCCAAATGCATGGGTATACTTTGCAAAATTTAAAGATACCCCAGTTATATTCCAGACAAGAAGTTGACTTCATTTCACACTTTTGTTCAGACCAAAACCAGAACTAATCGCACGGAGCAATGAAGCAGTGGGCCGTTTTCTTTATTCGGACACGAACTGACCTCATTCTGCAGCTGAAAGGAAAGTCATCCGAGTGCAGGGTGGAGAAGGAAAGAAACATTTGCTTCGCGGGGGGAAAGAAAAGGAAGGGGGAGCAGCGGATCAAAATCTTTTCATTCCTGCAAGAACCATATATAGAAACTTAACTCACATCTCTTATATATCTCATTTCTTCTTTCAGTTGGTGAGCTGACCATCCATAAACCACCATTTCCTTGTTATGATTGTCATCTGACCGGTGCACCACACCATACACAACGCCATGTTTTAAGTCCCCAGCAGACAATCCGCTGGGCACTTGATAGAGTTGCTGTAGGAGTATATTCAAAAGTTATAAATGCAAAGAAAAGGAAATGTAGCACTTTATTGTATGACCGTTTTTTTTTTCTAACCTACCTCCAATTTCATAAGGATCTCCAAGATAGCTTTGAAAGACTAGTAAAAGGATTAAGCTTGGTATAGTTTTTAAAAAGTAAGTAATATTACTGCAATATAGTTCTTTCTTAAAACTGCTCTGAACATCAATACGTGGTACAGCACCAACAGTTCATCACACTGTGTAAGTTCCTCCACCAGACTGAACTGAGAGCAGTCATGGACACAATGGTCCTGTCTCCAGGAGCGGGGCAGAAGGTCTCCAAAGGTCGTTGCTGGGACAGCAGGAGAAGAGGGCAATTGCCCTGCCCACCTCCCTGAGCTTCTTGCCCTCTGGGGAAAAGGAAACTGCTGACCTAGACAGGCCTTCAGTCGGATCTTCCTATGTTCCTCTCTGAGCACTTTCAGGATGTCCAAGGGGGTCACAGAGACCACCGGTGTTGATCTTGAGCCAAGCTATGAATATGCAGACCAGGCATTGTGCAGAAGAAGCAAAAAACAGTTCTAGAGTGCTAATTCAATTGCCATCTTTTTAGACTAAATTATCTTCCTCAAGAAGGAAAAATCGGCTTTCCTTTATTAGATATTATTAATGCAAAAGCGGGGGGGGGGGATGACATGCATTTAAAATACTGACAGAACGTCTCATCTGCCTTTCCAGAAGCTCCCGCAGGAGTTACCATTAATGCCCAGAGAGCATTTTACATCCAATTTTAAGTCATTGTCTAAAATGTCAAATCAATGTCAGCTGCTCCTGTTGCAATAGGTAGGCAGTGTCATATCATTGCATAATGGAATTCAGGCTTATCATGCGAAATACATTGTTTTGTTTAGACAAAGGTGGTGGAAGAAGGCGTTTCCACATGCTGGGTGTGGTGCCAGCAGCAAAAATAGTTTTTCATTTCCTGGATAAAATAGTTTTGGGGGTATTTGGTTTCATATCAATCACTGGACTATGTGGTTATTCATAGCTAAGACTTCCTCTCCAGCACCAAGGAGTGGAGAGACTGGAACTGGGAATAAGAGTTTCTAAAGTATGTACTCTTCTGAAAAATATGCGCAGAACAGGAAATTCTGGCACTGTTCAAAATATCACATTCTTCCCACTCAAGATACCCTATCACAGTTCAGCACTGAAGTATATTTGCACAAAACTAAACTTTACACAGAAACAAGACCTGTCAATCTAATTAAATCCTGGAGACTCTAATTATCCACAACCCAACACACCATTACCTAAGAAGCCCTTCCTGAACTTAACAGAATGTATTTCTGAGCGGATATCCACAGGATTCCCCTGCAAATCCCTCTACTCCATACAAAGGGGTTGGGTACATAACGGTTTCCCTAAATTGAATAACGTATGAGCCAGTTAAAGAAACCACTTTCTGTAAGATCTGTTGGGAAAATCATCTCAGCAATTGATTATTAATATGTTAGGCTTCCTGCTTTTCAAAAGGTAATAATCGCTCAGAGGAATTACAGATTATTTGGGTATTCTTAATTTTCTCGGCATGTGTTGGGACTTTCAGAGGAGGAGGAGGAGCCACAACAGAGTCCCTTGCCTGTGCTCACCCTGTCAAAGATGCTGGAGCCAGAGACAAGATCTATTTTCAAAGCCTCTGCTTACAAAACACCCACCATCCAGGCCACATCACAAGCAGATCCTTGATACAAATATGCAATATAAAATCAGATCTAGCCAGAAAGGAAGCCTTGCTTTTGTAACCACCCAGATAGAAAGGTTTGGTTTTTCACAGCGCCTACTAAAGGGGGTGAATGTGGCAACCAGTTTCAGAGGTTTTTTCAGATGCCCAATTTGAATTGTTGGAACCCTTTAATTAGGAGATTCCAAAATCCAGGGTTGGTAAAACAAAATGGCATGTAGGTTTGGGGCTGGTGAGGTGATGTTGGTTTGGGGGCACTCTGTGGCTCCCTTCAGGGGGCAAGTCAGTCTGTTTGTGAGGCTGCAAAATCCATGCCTGAGTGGATAAAACTACAACAAAACCGGTATGTAGTTTTGATGTAGGTTTTGAGTTAATACAGCAATCTCTGAATCCCTTTAACTACAGGGAGATAGCAGGTTAATGGTACAAAATGGTACAAAACTTTGTCACAGATTTTTTATAAAATCTAAATTTGATAGTTCAGTTAACCCAACTTCCTACCCCAAATGCTACATTTTAAGGATAAGGGAAATGTGCTTTGCTCTTTCCAGTTACGATTTTTTAAAAAAGCAGTATTCACAGACAAGATAGGAGTCGCTCTCCAGAGCAACAGGCTGCAGAAGGTGGAGCGATGCCCTTCTACACGCACAGACCAATGGGGAATTCCAAGTCCATGCCGAGACCTCTGGGCAGACTGGCAGGAAAAGGTCCAGGAGATGGAGCACCCAGGTGGACCAGCCACCCTGCTCCTGGCACCCTTGCATCAAGCCTTCCCTTTTCAGTACAATCCGGCCACACACCTTTTTCCTATGGGAAGACAGATCAGCAAATTGAGGTAAGTAGAGCAGGCTCACTGCTTCCAGGGTGATCTAACCAGATTTCCAACCACCTTTGGCCCCTTTCGCTGCACAATATCTGTTGCTTCCAGTGGCCACAGAGGAGGGGCGGTTGTTGGTCCTCGGTTGGCCCGGCTGCTACATGAACCCAAGAGTGCCCCCCGTTTTTATGGACGGGGTGACTCCTCTGGACGGGGATGCAGAGTTGCCTCTCCATCCCCGGCTCTCTGGTGTGGCCGCAAGAGAGCAGGGGTGCTGAAGTAAAATCTGCTCAAGACTTTACTAACTAAGAGAGGTTGCTTTGCCGGGGAGTTTAGCGGTTGTCACTGGAGCGCCACCCTGACGTTGTCTCTCAAAGGGCAGACGGGGATTTTCACGTGACCTCCAAGTCATGGGTGTGGTAACAATAAAGCTGTTGTGAAATCCGCATGACGCTGCTGGACATTCCAGGGTGGGGAAGAAGGGAAGGCTGTCACTGTGGCCCGGCACATGCGATGGGTGCATTGAAAACTCTTCTCTAGACGGGTGGGGTGCCCGTGTCCCTACAGGGTTTCTGCGCACACACACACACACACATCCCTTTCCCTCGTGCTCTTTCTCCAACTTAAGTCTCGGGTATTATTTATTCTGAAGAGAAAAACACATAAGTGCCTTATGGGCACTTTCTCCCCACAGTACAAACAGCAGTTAAATCACGCAAGAGGGATGGCTGAATAAGGCCCAATCAAAAGGAGGTTGCCGTAATGTTATGTTGGTTGGAAGAAGTCATGAATAGCGTAAACGATAACACTGATGCTTATACAGCATAGTCTGAATTCAAGGCAATTCACCCACGTCTAGTAATATTTACCATGAGCCTACAGCATAAAAGACTATAATCCCCCCCGC